ACCGTGGCCTCGTATGAAAACAATCAGAGCAGGTCAAATGAATGCAGGGTCAAACATTTTCACACACAGAGGAAGAGGAAATGAACACACGTTTAGTTCAATATGGAGTATATGAAAACACAACACAGAGAAGACACTGCATTAACATAAAAGTCACAGTAGACAGTAGAGAACACTTCAAATACAGTGTTTTTCAGATTATAAAGTGTTCCTGTCAAAGTCTGTAGGTTATTCAGTATTATTGGCCTGTATAATGTTGTGATGACATCTGAAACGCACCGATCGGCTCTGTGCACAACAACCAGTGGCTATAGGTCAGTGTAAGCATCACTACTTCCTCTTCAATTATAACTCTTAGACTTTTGTCACTCTAAAATGAATAAATGCTTAAATGAACTGTATGTAGCAGTAGAGGTTTGCGCAGGACAGAATTTTCAGTCAGCTCCTCCCTGCACCTAGTCTGTTTCATCAGCCGGTTTCGCTTCATGGAAACACTCTGACCTCGCAGTGTTAGGATTCGTTTGCTCGACGGTAGGTGGGTACTTTTTTATTTACCCAATCACTGCTATTTGGTTGTAACGTATGTAATGTGCCACTAACGGAGCTAACTATTATATTAATCTTTTCCCAAATCCCATAGGAAGAAGGGCAATAATATCTTTCCCCTTGATAAAATTCACCAAAGATTGTCTTTGTTCTGGCTTTAAATCCTCGATCTCCGGAATCGTTGCCAACACAGAATGTCTGGCTCTTTGCTGATTGGCTGGTGCCCGAGCTCACACTTCAAGACTTTTTGCAAACCGTCTAGTGTATTCTTATTCCTGACCTAGTCGCTGCATCTGCCATATTTTGTCCCGCTCCCGTCTGCAAATCCTGCACAATGGGGATGTTTGCTTTCTTAAGCTCTATCAAACACGAAGAAGTGGAAAGGAATTGTCTAAAATGTGCGCGAGATTAGACCACGTCTGCAAGTTTATGCTGCTTAAAGTGTTTATTATTAATGCCAAATAAAATATCCAGCACAAATGATGTATGATAGGCGTACATAAATGATTTGTATATTTTACTTTATACTCATATTTAGTTTGCTGGACTGCAGTTCATCATCAAATGTCCAGCGCCACACTGTTTTGCGTCGGGTCCAGGGTTCTATTTTACAGTTTAATCAGAACTGAACATATGTCAGCGCTTAAACCTGCAACCATTCAGATCATAGGGCTCATTCTGCTTTCTGATTGGACAATTGTCTCCAAACTGTCTCCAAATCTCCACCAAATAGATTCTATTCATGTTTACGTCACAAACCAGGAAGACGTTTGGTAAGATGCAATTACAACTTCCGATGTACCTACTGACTGTGCTAAAACCCATTGAAGTAAATGTCATTAGTGATAAAATGAAGGCTTTGGAATCATCTTGAATTTGGCGCCTCATCTCTTCTAATCGCATGTACCCAGTGCGCTCGGAGGTGTGTGTCAGTGGGAAAATGATGAAAAGTGAGGTGTGGTTGTAATTGTTGATTAGTTGAACAAAACAGAACGCTACAATGACATGTAGGTGAAGAAAGCTGGGCCATTTTAAAATTTTTCTTAGATTTTGTCAGACTACCCGCGAACAGAGCCTGGCGGAAGTTGTAATTGCATGTTTCCAAAGGTTTTCCTGGTTTGTGATGTAAGCGTGAATAGAACCTATTACAGGGGTGTCCAAACTTTTTTCATCAAGGGCCACATCTCTAAACACAGACGAAGCAGAGGGCTGATCGAGGGTCGTAGACTGGTGCTCAGTACAGTGAATCATTGAAATATGTGCATGTTTAACACGTAAGAATGAGCCATCACAGTTTATTCATGCTAAGATCCTTAAAACCACACACTAAATATTAAAAAATAGCTTTATCAAGGTAGATTTTCAAAAAGACTTGCAGTAAAAAGTAAATTTTTAATTAATGCAAGGTCATTTGTAGCCTGATGTCATCAGCCGGTTTCACTTCGTTGAAACTGTCTGACCTTGCAGTGTTAGAATTCGTTCGCTCGACTGTACTTTTTATCATTTAACCAATTACTGCTATTTGGTCATGACATATGTAATGCACCAATTCCTGTAGGAAGAAGGGCAATAACGTCTTTCTCCTTGATGAAATTCACCAAACTTTCTCTTTGTTTCGGCTTTAAATCCTCGATCTCGGGAATCGTTGACAACACTGAATATTTTGCTCTTCGCTGATTAGCTGGTGCCTGAACTCGCACTTCCGGGGGCACTTCCATCTTGTATATCCTGATTCCTGACCTAGTTGCTGGAGAAAAATGAAACTGAGTTGGGCCAATTCACCCGGAAGCCTGAGGGCCAAGAAAAATTTGTCTGAGTTTGGAATAGTTTGGACACGCCAGGCATATTTTAAAGTAAATCAGTAAAGCTGCATTAGATTTGAACATGTTTACCTCGTGCCATTTGGACGTTAGGTCATGTTTATGTAATTCAAAATCAAAATCAAACATATAGTTCTTTAACGTGACGTAATTCTTCACTGGACCTTCATCCCGCACACTGTTAACATCCACACAATAACTCAACCTATATTTTTCTATAGAGCACCAGCAGCTCGACACCGCATTCACATTTGAGCGGCAAAATGCATGCTGACAGGGAATATGGGTAAAAATGGCACGGTGTCGACAGGTGCGACGCGGTGACGGCTGACAGGTGTAAGCATCGCCTGTCACATTCTATTCAGGCGCCGCGATTTCAAATAAGATTATTCCTCTACCTGCGAAGAACACAAGCGGGCAGGTGACAGCTTAAACGCCGCCGCAGATAGGGACACGTGTGCAGCGGTAGCACTCACAGTGTTTACATGCGCAGAGAAACGCCGAGAAACAAGAAAATACTTTGCCCGCGAAACACTCAGACCGGTCTTTTCCTTACTTGACCAAGCAGAGTCACTCACTTTGGCAAAACTTTACAAAGATGAGTGCATTTGGAGGAGAGCAAGGAAGCCCGACCGAAGTCCAGCAGTTCAGAAAAATATTTAGAACCACTCGCTTTGAGACTCTTAAGTGCTCACAAGATCAGAGCTCTGCACTTTTAGTTTAGATCAGGGGTGCTCACACTTTTTCAGCATGCGAGCTACTTACAAAATGACCAAGTCAAAATGATCTACCTAATACAAAGCCAAGCAAACTGCACTGAAACACTCTGTGCCCCTTTTTTTGGACCCTCACCCACAGTTTGAGAACCTCTTCTTTAAGAGAACTTCCTCTGGCACTTTACACAAAACTGTGAAAAAAGTGAAGGAAGATTTTTAAACCTGTTTTTTAAAGTTCCAAACTGGAGTTTCATTCTTTTCTGGTTTTGCAGTGATATTTACCAGCCTCTGCACGTTTACCAAACCAAACGCACATCGTGACAAACACAGATGCATTTGTGCACTTTTGTTAGGCAAACTTCAGCCAAATGTGGCAGTAGGTCTGTTCTGTAGATCCGCTCTATGCTGTAGACCTGCTTTGTGCCAACACTGGAACACAAATTTAGACTTGTTTTTGCTTCACGTTTGGTCTTGCTCTTCTAATCAGCCGCACTGTGGGAGGGGCTTGTGTTGGCTGTACGCAGGAAGGAGCGAGAGCGTGAAAAGGCGAGGGCGGCGTGCTGACGTGAGGCAGATGGACAGGTAGGATGTTTAGGAAGTTGAACCTGCCCTGTGATGCACGCTGGTACACGAGGGCACACGCTGTCGCAGACGAGCCGTGCATAGGGAGCGTGTGTGTTTGTGATGCGCCGTAGAGTCTCCGCGGGTTTCAAATGAGCGCACAGGCTGCACTGAGACGCCCCACACGCACTTGTTGAGTGTCAGACCTTGAGTGAGAGACAAGACCGAGTCCAAACGCGATCCAGTCCGAGACGAGTACTAAGACACGGCGACCTACCCACATGACCTTGGCGATAGAATGGTACATCGCGATCGACGTATTGGGTTTAGATACACACTAAAACTGTTATTATTTGTGAAATCTGGTGCAATACTTCAGATACGTGGTTTGTAAAGCGATAAAGTACAAAGGAAGTTACTATCGCGAATCGGCAGCTTCACCTCGATTTGTGCGCCGTGCGGATGTAAACAGACACATGTGAGGAACTACTCTTGCCTTTTTACTTTTAAATAACGCCTCAAACTGGATTGATAGCACAATTTTGTGGACTGGGGTCATTATTTGAGGAGGACAACTTCTATAAATAATGCGAATGAGATGCTGCAGTTTAAATTTACATCTTTACGAGAGGTGAGTAATAAAGTCTTCTCATTATTCGTGCTATTTCCAGAGTTTGTATTTTGCATCTCTGTGTGCGTTAGAGGCCGCACAAACAGATAATATAATCACAAATAGTGTGATTGTGTAATTGTGTCGGGTTCGTTCGGGTTCAGACACAAATATATTAACACTTATCTGACTCGGGTCGGATTTGATCATTGCTTTTGTCGGACACGGGTCAGGCTCGGACAGAAAAATTTGGCCCAAACCACGCTCTAATCTGGAGCTGTATCCTGTTGCCCTGATTTAAGAGGATGTGATTGACAGGTGGATAAGCCAATCAGAGAGACACATGCTCAAAATCGTGTCAAAAACAGACATAGCTGCTAACACGTAAAAAAAAATCTACTTATACGACTGAGAAACAGTGCTATAATTACGACTAGAGAGAAATACAACTACATCTCACTTACGTGGAGAATTAGATTTTCAGACTTGTTAGGAATTGTGTAATTTAAGGGGCCCATATTACACTATTTTGTGATCTATGTTATGATGGCAAAGGAGAAAATGAACTGACGATTAAAGGTCGTATATTACACAAATTTGACTTTCGGCAGCTTTAAGCCACGTTATAATGCTGTTACCTCCTCAAAAACAGACTTGGAGTTGTGTTTTGTTTCATTCACACATGTTTGAGTAACACTTTATTATTAGTCTGTCTACATCTCTGAAGCTCAAAACGCTCTGTTCCACCTTCTGACATCATGCAGCTGTAGTTTTAAAGTGAACAGCTGCCTTTTACCTTTAGTTAATCAGAAATACTGTATTTTCCGGGCTATTAGGCACTCTGGATTATAAGACGCACTGTCATTAAATGGTCTATTTTCAAACTTTTTTCACAAATAAAAAATAAAAAAATTATTATGCTTTAAAAAGACCATGTAAACACTTAATTCCTAATGATTATTTGCACTTAAACTTAAATTAAGTGGGCGGGTTATTCCGATTTTAAAGCCAAATTAATTTCCAGACGGGGGTGAGGAAGACCAGTGTGAAATGGACTCGGTCCGACAGGTTCCGTGTCGTCCTCTGTGCGCAGGATCCATGCAGCGAAAGTGAGAATGCACTGAGGATTACAGGTCCAGGCGGGTTGCTCCTGTCCTCCGTGCTTGAGGACTGCGGCTGGTTCTGAGGTGGTGCAAAACATCCAGACAGAAGCGCAAATCCTGGTCTGGTTGGTCCATCCTTCGTGCATTTGGTTCTTCCTGGGGAAAGCGCTTCTCAGGTTGAGGCACCGAACACCACTACCCACTCCAGCTCATCTGCGCCCGACCTGAACCACAGCTGCTCCCCGATGGTGTAGGAATCTGGGTTTGGACCGCTGTTCCCCAGTTTGGCTTTCCATGAGTAATGACAAACCGAGATGACAAAAAAGCCGGTAGCAGCTGATGTGTGTGTTTTCTTCCAGTAGACGTAGACCCAGCTGACCAAGAAAAAGGTGATTGTAGCTGAAAAGCAACAAATTTGCAGGTCTGTTACCTCCTCCCTTCAGACAGATATAAGGAAGTGTTCACCAGAGTCTGACCAGAACTGAAGAAACAGCTTGGATGAACTGCGAAACGTTCTCGACCTAAATAAACATTTGTCCAGTTGACTTTGCCCTGGATTCTACCTGGATGACTGAGGGATTTCACACACATCTTTATTTTATGATGATGATGATGACGTCTAATCTCAAGATGAGAGGTGACAGATCCTTTTCTGTGGCAGCGCCCAGACTGTGGAACAAACTTCCTCTTCCTGTCAGATCCTCTCAGTCTGTAACGCAGTTTAAGACGAGACTAAAAACTCACCTCTTCTCCCTGGCATTTAGTATGAGTTAGTGAAGTTATCTTGGTGTTTGTATATATGTATATGTAACCAGTGTTGGGGAGTAACAGATTACATGTACTGGAGTTATGTAATCAGAGTACAAATTATGAGTAACTGTATTCGGTTACAGTTACTGTTTCAGTGAGTGGTAATTGGATTACAGTTAAAATTTGTTATAACTTTTAACTTTGTTAAAATAAATGGATTACACAGCGGTATTTTCCTGTTTTCACATTTTGGGCTTTTTTTTTTTTCGTAATTCCACTCACTGCTGGAAACTAAACCAGGTCTGAACTAGATCTAAACCAGGTATAAACCAGGTCTAAAACCAGGTCTAAACAAAATCTAAACTAGATCTAAACCAGATCTAAAACCAGGTCTAAACCAGGTCTAAACTAAGTCTAAAACCAGTTCTAAACTAGATCTAAACTAGATCTAAGCCAGGTCTAAACCAGCACTAAATCAGAACTAAAACAGGATTTAACAGGACTAAATCATGCTGGGCGGACATGTCTCCTCCTCTTCTATCAATAATATTTTTAATTCAGTTCAGTAAAGTTTGGGCTTTTTATTTTCTTTTATCAGGCAAAACATCTTAAGTGAAAATTCCTTCGTCTTTGCTTCTCTACAGCAAATCAAGTAATCCAAAGTATTCAGATTACGTTACTCACCTTAAATAACTTAATGGATTACGTTACAAACTACATTTTGGTGTATGTAATCTGTAATCTGTAATCTGTAGGGAATACATTTTAAAAGTCACCTTCCCAACACTGTACGTAACTGTTTCTTCTATTTTGTTGACTTTTATGTGAAGCGCTTTGGTCACCTGAAATTGTTTTAAATGTGCCATATAAACTTTAATTGAACTGATGTCATCTCCTGATCACAAACACACCCGGAGTTCTTCTCTTAAACGGAAAACACTCTGTTCCGCCTCGAAATGCCATGTAGGATAGTTGGAATATTTCAGCCTTGGATTTGACCATTTCTGGCGAACTAAAGTTATTAAAAGGTAACATTTCACTTTAAAACTACAACCGCATGACGTCACAATGTGGAAAAGAGCATTTTGAGCTTTGGAGACGTAGACAGACTAATAAAAAACTGTTACTCAAACGTGTGAATGAAAGAAAACACAACTCCAGGTCTGTTTTTGAGGAGGTAAAAGCATTATAACATGGCTCTACAAAAATCAAATTCATGTAAGATAGGACCATTAATCGTCAATTTATTCTCACTTCACCTTTAGATCTGACACAGATTTGAAAGAAATAAGAAAAAAAACATATCGTATTTGTTAAAAAAGGGAAAAAAATCAAAACATAATATTGATCTCTTACTGTTAGCTTTGTGATTTAATTCAATCAGCTCTTTTCACCGCTAAGAGCCCCATCACATTTTCTATTCAGTATTGGTGTAAAAACAAGCTCTACCTGACAGGCCTACTAAAACACTTTTTATTCTTGACTTGAGATTTGGACAAAACTGAAAATAATCCATTTACTTTGATTCCATCCAAAGTGCCACTCTGCTCCATGGGGCATTTCGCTGCAAAATAACCCTGGCAACTGCACGGGGCCACCGGCTCCAGTCGCTTTATTCACAAAATGTAAGTGGAGATTTTGGCCCATGCTAACAGGGCATTTCAGCGCTTAATCACCCCATATTTTGGTTATTATATTTGATTTGATATGCTTTTTGGAGGGGAGCCAGTCAACCGGTTCGGCATCGCAGCTTGGAGTTTTCAAGTGGGACCAAAACTGAACAGGTCTGAGTCCAGTTTGGCTTGGCTTGGCTCATTTCTATATCGATTTGTATTAATTTATTTAAATTCCCACAAGAATGACCTGAATACTTGATTTTTTATTTACTTTTTAAATGTAATCATCAAGTTTCTCACAGTTGTGTGTATGCAGTGTTGGGGAGTAACAGATTCCATGTACCGGCGTTACATAATCAGAGTACAAGTTTTAAGTAACTGTATTCGGTTACAGTTAGGTCATTGGATTACAGTTACTTTGTTGAAATAAATGGATTACATGGTGGTATTTTCCTGTTTTCACATTTTGGATATATCTATATCCCATTATATCCCATTTTTTAAAATTTTATTTCGGTAATTCCACTCGTTGCTTGAACTCCAAACAGAACGCGGCAGTAAGAGCTCTGGTTTGTTAACGTTGGTGGCGTCAGTCACACAATGGACGAGGTCGTTAATAATCATCGTTGTTAATAATCTGATTCTGCATCATTTTGAGTAGAAAACTTCAAATATTACAGATTTTTACTGGGCTGGTGCCTTTATGTTTGTACTGAAAGTTTTTGTTTTTTTTAATAAACAATATGACACTAACAGTAGGTGGACATAAGTGAAGGCAGCAGTGATCTCATATATAGAGCGTTTCTCTATCAATAATATTTTTAATATGTTTCAGGAAAGGCTGAGCTTTTTATTGTCTTTTAGCCGACTAAATTTCTTATGTTAAGATCCTAGTCTTGGCTACTTTACAGCAAACAAAAGTCTGTTCATGGAGACTTGGGCTCAACAGACAATTTGAAAAGAACAAACAAGAATTTTCAGGATGCGGTCGCTTCATTCATGTAGTTTTAAAAACTCATGACAATATCAAGTAATCCAAAAGTATTCAAATTACGATACTCACCTTAAGTAACTTAATGGATTCCATTACAAACTACATTTTGGGGTATGTAATCTGTAATCTGTAGGGGAATACCTTTTAAAAGTCCCAACACTGTGCGTATGCATTGTCAGCTAAGACCTTTTGGGCAAATAGGGATTAAAAAATTGACTTAGTATTGTAGAACCACCACACCACAATTCAGATCACTACAAGCTTTATACATTTAAAATATTTGTCTCTAGATTGACCAAAGTACTTTTTTCCCACTGAAAATGTACCAAATTCCTCTAAAAGCTGGATACCTAATTTTCACCGTGGAAGGGGGAATAAGAATTAAAATCGAGTCCAAAAACTAGTCCGTAGCTCTCACAGTCACCCTTATTTACACCAAAGCGTAAGAGCGGTTGGACAATGTACACCGGCAGTGTCATATGAGTGTTCAGTGGCCGTCATGACGCTACCCGCTGCTCAAATGAAGTTGGAGTTCTAATTTTGCAGCATCAACGGATCGTCTCCAGGCTTTTTAGCAGGGGAAAGACAGGAAATGGGCACGTGGTGTCAAAATAAACTTCCGGCGCCCTTTCAAAATACGTTCTCTAAAAACTCTACAGTTGCGTAAACATCGTGCGTCGCATCCAGGAGCTCGGGGGACGACTCGTGATGGACTATGAAACGTTTACAGCCGAGGAGGATAAATATAAACACTTAATGACATCAGACAGCAACTTTACAAGAACAACTTCTGTGGTGCAGATGAACAAAGTGAAAATGGAGAGTAGCTTCATTAAGGCAACAACGCAGATACGGCTCGTTATCGCAGCAACTCACCATCTCTCTTGTTGTCAACCTTTGTATTGTCATTTAAAACATACTTCATCCAATCAACCATTAATACATAAACAATGTAAAGAGTTTAGTTTTTAAACGTGAGAATACACAGAGGCTGGAAAGTTTTGGAAGTACGCGCGTATTCAGCTCTGCCTACGTTAAGTGCCGCTGATGCTCCTGGTGTAAATTCGGGGTTATGGACATTGTTAATATCCACATGTTGTACTTTTCACTTTAGAACTGCTTTTCTCAGACTTCAAAATTAAACTGGGTTGGACCGTCTAGGCGCAACCAATCAGAACGCTGCTTTTGGCTTTTACTTCCAGGTTGACGAGAAAGAAAAATGCTCATTTTATCACAGTGTACACTTTGTTGGAAACAAATAAGTGACCAATTTCCCAGTGGAACACTCAGGTATCCCAGCTTTAAGAGGAAGTTCGTACCATAATGGAAGAATGGGTTACAAGTCAGAAGTAGACAGGCACATAAACACTTTACTGATCACAAAGGTTGGGTGACCAGACGTCTCAATTTACCCGGGACAGTTCCAGTTTTGAGCCAGTGATTTGTTGCAGTTTTATACAAGAAATGTCTAAGGTGGCCCATTTTTTGACCAATCTGATCCCTGCCAATGATAAAGAGAGGTCATTTGTTTAGGTAAAATATAGAAAAGCTGTTTAAAAATCACCAAAACACAAAGAAATGTGACTGTACTGACTCACATTAGTGTCAAGTGCATAACAATTTTCCTTAATTACGTTAAGCGCTTGTTTCACAATTTTATTATTACCAACCACCACAAACCAGGGATGTACAGTTTTTTATTTTGAAAATCTGGTCACCCTACCAAAAAGAAATTCAAGTATAAAAAGTGAAACGTGGCATCTCTGTACATATCTTAGGGCCAAATAACCTTTTGGTAACACTATATATTTTTATGATTTGAGTTTAAGATGATTTATGATAAAAATGTTATTCAAAAAAACATAAAAATTGAAATATTCTCAACACATGATGCAGTGTAGTTTCGTAAATAGACCTTATCTACATTTTTGCAGTTTCCCAAAAATATAAAAGTCACAAAAATTATAACTTCATGTAACTTCACACACACCAACAACGTGGACAATCCTTCCATGAAACAATCCAAACATGTTATTTTAGCACGCAGCTACAATGCAAGTTAAAATCCAACGTTAAAAATGATATGACGGGGTTTAAAATGAACAGACGGACAATGTAGGACCAACATCGGACATTCTGAGCAAACCAAACGAACGGACAGAGATGGAGGTCAGACGTCAGGACACACGTTAAACATTTAAATCAACATTCACACCGTTTTTTCACTCTCATAATGACATAGATGTGGGACACGGGGGCGCACAGGCAGCGTTTAGGGCGGTGGGGGCGTGGGCAGAAGAAGGGGCCGGGGCGGGCGGTACTTACGGACAGGCTCGGTCTTGAAGTTCACGGCGGCGCTGGACTCCCCCTCGCCTTTGCCGTTGATGGCCGACATGCGCACCTCGTAGGAAGTCTCCGGCTTGAGTCCCGTGATGGTGATCTTTGTCAGGTCTGAAATGATAAGATACGGTAAGATAAGAAGAGTTAAAGCGGGAGTGAACACCAAACTCCACCCACAACCGCACTGAAATAGAGCTGATAACTGGGGCCTCATTTATTAAAAAAACTGCGTAGAATCGGGTGTTATTGCTTGGCTTGCTTGTTTCTATATCGATTTGAATTCATTTATTTAAATTCCCATGAGAATGACCTGAATACTTGACTTTTATTTACTTTTTCAATGTATTTATCAAGTTTCTCACAATTGTGCATGTGCATTATCAGCTAAGAATTTTACTTAGTATTGTAAAACCGCCAAACCACAATTCAGATCACTACAGGCTTTATACATTTAAAATATTTGTCTCTGAATTGACCAAAGTACTTTTTTCCCCACTGAAAATGTACCAAATTCCTCTTAAAGCTGGGTACCTGATTTTCACCGTGGAAGGAGGAATAAAATAATAATATTCCTCTGCAAGTTCCACTGCAAATAGAGCTGATAAACTGGGGTCTCTATAAAAATGCGTCAAATCGGGTTTTTATTCTGTTCTTCATACTGTCAGAGAGCAGCTATCATTTGCAAGAGCTCCCCATTACACAAAAATGTAGTGAATATTTAGGATTTGGGTCAGGTTCGGACAGTAAGGTTTGTGTCGTGCGCAGACTCGGGTCACTCTGGCGCTCGGTGTGTAAAGACTAAAGTAAAAGTGTTAAAGTTGAGCTCATCAAATCAAAAGCCTGGCTCCTACTGCGTCCAAGGGAAGAGTTTTTGTCTCAGGTCGGGTCATTATTTCGTCCTCTGTGTTGGGTCACAGTCTGTGTTCTATAGAAGTCTATGATCGCAGACTGCGGGACATCCTGCGCTGCACCGGGAACGTGGCCATGCTCATGCACAAGATTTAAATGTATAATATTTTAGAAAATAATGAGTGGAATAAACAGCTGTTCTCCGTGTTTTGGCTAACTAAACACTTAGAGGCCGTCCACAAGACAACGTTTTTTGGTCAAAACGGAAAAGTTTCACCAGGGTCCTCTGATGCAGTGAAGCCCGCAGCCCTTCAACTCGCCTCCACAGACCACAAGAGCGTTTCCAAAATGGGACAGGTGTAGCCTACGGAGCCGCTCCCATCACCCAGCAACCGAGACACACTGTTAGCGCCAATACTAACGACGCGCACAGCAGATTACACACATGGATCAATAACAATGACTATGTTTACACTGAAACGAATCTGTATCACCATATCAGAAAGGATCTGAGTCCAGACACATCCAGTCATTTCTTTTTCCGCAAGTCTTCCCTCTCCACACACCACATGGCTAATTTGCATAAACTAAAAAAACAGCTCACTATTGTGTCGCTGATGCGGTTCAGCTTCTGTCGGTCTAAAGGACATGACTCAGTGGAATATACGGGTTCTTTCTGTGACTTATGTTATGTAACTTTTGCAAAATAAAACAGCTATATTTCTGGGATACATCTAAAATAGGCTCAATGACCTTGAAGTAAAAAAAAACAAAAAAAACAAAAAAAAAAAACAGTGATGAGATATACATTATTAAATATTATTACCATTGTTAACAGCGCCACATACAGGTGTGGCATATGTATTACATCGTTTTCACTCAGTGCTCCGTTGTCGTGTGGACGTGAATATTTACTGATCCGGCACGTGTGTGGATGCAATTTTTTTTCAACACACAAAGAAAAATATCCAGGAGCGTTGCCGTGTGGACGTAGTCTTAAATGCTCAAATCTGAAGGTAATTTCTTTTATATATGTGGATTTTCTGATCAAACTCTTCCTCAGACTCTGTTCACTTCTGCTTTTCTCCACGAGTGTCACTTTTTTCCCGTGTCTCCAGACTTTGCGCAGTGCTTATAGGAAGTCCCGAGTTGGCGTAGAGTTAAGCGAAGTGCCGCGCTTAAGTCAAGTTTCATAAATATCGTGGTTGGCGTCGAGAGCGTGTATGCAAGGATTTGTGCGTAAGCGAGCTTTATAAATGAGGCCCCTGGGCAGTACCTCGAGGACTAAAGAGGAGAGTGAGAGTTTTTTTTTTTTTGTTTCATTCCTTCCACGACTACATGTGCAGCTACATGGAATATTCACAAGGGAACTCGTCCGTGGTTGAGGTGGCAGTGTTTCCCGCAGCACTTTATAGTTAGGACGGCCGCCTTGACAACAATTGCCCCCCGCCTCTGAACAACGTGAAACCTCGCAAAACTACGGTCATCGCGCCCTGGTCCTCACTCATGCCTTTCGTCAGCACAGGCATATCTTTTAAACACTTGAATAGATTTTGAAGCGTTGACTTATTTCATTTGGACTGTTCCATAAGCTCACACCTTTGATTGAAACACATTTCTCCATTCTTGTTGCTCTGAACTCTCAATTCCTTTCAAATTATAATGACTTTCGCTCTTTATAAATTTTCTTTGGAGATTGGTGGGCGAGATTTGATGATTTTCTTTATACATAAATTTTAAAATATGAAGTTCTACCACTTCATTGAGTTTGAGTATCTGGGGGTGTAAGTAGCAGTATGATTGGTTTAAAAAAGTACTTCAAACTGAATGAATAACACATCTGTTGCCTGACTGTCCTGGTTTATTTATCGTTTATCATTTGAGATGCTACAGGCTTTTTACACCATATGTGGCAGCAAATGTGGCAGAAGATCTTCCCGAGGAAACGTTGAACTCTTTCATCACAAACTGAAGTAACAGAGCGGAGTAAGAAAGAGGCTGTTCCTGTTATGTTCACCTGCGCCCCCTGGACTCTGCTGTGACACTACAGGACACAGAGGGACACTTTTGGCTCTTCCACAGGATCTGCTGACCCTCCCTGACCAGACCTCCTGTTAAACTGCACTAAGACCTCTGAGACATACATACAGAGAAACTGCAACAGAAAAACTTGAATTTCTCTCTCTGGCTGTGTTCAGACTGCAGGGTTTAATGCTCAATTCAGATTTTTTTGTTAAATCCGATTTTTTTGCGAGGTCGTTCACATTTCCAGTTAAATGCGACTCGTATGTGATCTCCAGTGTGAACTTTAAACGCCCCAAAAGTGCCCCGCATGTGCATTGGAGGACACGAAGACGTCACACGCAGCCTCAGAAGTCTCCTAAACGTGAACGCGAGCATCGAGCACCTGGAGATTTTAAAGTTGCTGTCATACCAGAGCTAGAACATGTACAGCTGATTTGTTATAAGGAGGAGATTGAGAAGGAGAAGGACGAGGTTTTGGGTGATGGCATTTTGTGGGGCAGTGGCAGCAATGTCTGTAGAAAAGAACGTGTGGGTGCAGAGTTGTAGACAAGAGCGGTGGAATGTGCTTCACTGACACGGAGTTCAAACACAATTTTCTTATGACGAGAAGAACATTTGTGTGCAATTGTGAGCACCTACTTGTACCACTCTTACGGGAGGAAACACGTCTTCGGCGGCTTATTTCAGTGAGCAAACATGTCGCCGTTGGGCTGTAGTGGCTCACAACAGGTGCTTGTTACCGCACAAAAGCCATTCAGACTGAAGTTGCATGTCAAAAGATCGGATATGTATCAGTTTCAGGAGCACATATCCAAGTGTCCTGGGTCGCATTTGAAAAAAATCGGATCGGTGTCGTTCAGACTGTCATTAAAACATCAGATACAGGAGCATAGTGTCACATGGAAACTAAGGAAGGACCCAAAATGCAGGACTCCTTTAAAGTATTTAATAACAAATCCAAAAAACTGAAATTAAACTGCCATGAAAGAACAAGACACTGATAAAGACAACAATGGACCAACAAAGGGCAGAGAAGAACACAGGGTATAAAAACACACAAACACAGGTGAAACACATTAGGGAGGGGAACTCAATCAACAGACAGGAAGTAAAACTTAAACTACAAGCAGACAGGACTAATAGGCGAGTTTCATTGTTGACAAAAGCGCTCGTTGCATGCTGGGAATTATTTTGGTCTGCGGCAAGAAACACTAATTCAACATACAGAGCGAGAAAGCACGTAAAGGGTATTGATCCTGGTTATTTATCCACTCTAACGGCAGAGGACCCAAGACCATTTGACCAGAAATTGGTCATAAGCATCGACGGAGCCAAATCACCCTTTTCAACCCCGACAAAAGGTGGACCAAACCAAATTTCTGGTCAGAATCGCGAACTACCTGGACAAATATTCACTTGGGCGATATCCACAATGACTTGGTGGAAACTCCTGGGCCATTCACAGCAGAAAAGATGAAAACCTCCAAGAGTCTCGATGTGTTGTTGAACTTGTTGGAGTCCACGGTTTGTTAGGATCTTCTACGTTTGCTCTGCGAATGTTTGAAAGCCATTTAATTCACCGTTAGTGGTTCTTTTCACTCGGAATACGAAAAATACATTTTCCTTCTTCCGTGCTTCTATTTGTGCATCCGATAATGCAGCAGGAATTTACCATTATCAGGGATAAATACGCGAGGTTACGCACTGTGTTTGACCGTTATCGTGTTTCTTGCCTCCGATCAAAATACTTCCCAGCATGCAACGCGGGCTTTTAATAACAATGACGTCAGCTGAAACTCGCCTATATCCAAATAAAACACCAAGGGCACGCAACACTAAAGGAAAAGATCCACCAAAATAAGCAAAAAACTACAAAACATGAACCATGACACAGGGGCGAAAAAATCGGATTTGGGTCACTTCAGGCTGCAGTCTGAACGTCACCTCTATCCCTCTGTCCTTAGTTCTGCTTTATTCCTGGTTTAGTCCAGATTTAGTCCCGGTTTAGTCCATGGGAGTGAATCTTTCCTTCTTGTCGTGGCTTCTCTTTTTCCCACTGCTTTATTTTCTTTTAATTGCCTTGCCAAAAAGGAAGCACTAAGGTCAGGGGACGCTCTGGACCATTTCTTCTTTTGCTCGTTTTCTGTGAATCTTGGTTAATCTGTTATTGACCAATGTTTAACTATTGGATTTTCTAACTTTCTTTTGGTTAAATCGGTGACCTTGATCAGCCCTGA